CTGTGTGCTAAGTTGCTTCAGTCGTGTCCGACTCTTTTGCAGCCCTGTGGACTGTAGCCTGCCGAGCTCCTCTGTCCATGTGATTCTCCAGGCAAGAATGCTGGAGTGGGTTGCCATGCCCTCCTCCAAGGAATCTTCCAGACCCAGGGATGGAACCCAAGTCTCTTACGTCTTCTGAATTGGCAGGCAGGACTTTACCACTAGTACCCCCTGAGAAGCCCCTTATAGAAACCCTTTGGTGGTAAAGCAAAGGCAGTGGGCAGCATTCCTGCCATCTTTGTGGCCAGTGAGCCTGCCTTGGGCCATGTTCTGGGACTTTGTCTTACTGTCTCCGAGGATATCCCACCTCAAACACAAGAACTGGATCTGCATTCTGAGAACCAAGGGACTCCTAGTAGATAGCAGCTTCTTCAGATATGGGCAGATCAGATACACCGAATCAGGTTCCTTTTTATTTTTCATAAACAGTATTGCCTCTGAGGCCAATCCAAGGAGACCAGACCTGTGTTGTATTGTTTTACCTGAGGTCAGTGATGGCATTCAGCCAAGCTTTCTTGAAAGAGTTCCCTCTCCCTGAGAATGCCTTCTTCTAGTATTTGCAGGTGGATGGTCCATGTCCCTTGGGTTTCTTTTGCACATCTTGGTGCTTAAGTTTTGTTGGAACCAACGAAGTAGTGGAATTTAAAACAAACTTGGACTTCACAGGGAAAGAGAAAGGGGAGGGGATAGAAGTGGGGCAAGTATCTGCCATCAAAGGAGGGTCTGTAAGTGGTGATGCTTCTGTCTCCTAAAGAACAGGAACCAAAATGGTCTCTGATGTTGTGCTGGAGGAAGCTCAGAGCCCTCAGGGGACACAGAGCACGTATTCGGTGAGGTCATTAGCCATTGATTTGCTATGTTTCCATAATTCAGGTCTCAAGGGATCTTTGCCTCCCAGTTCTGTTCTGTATGGATGACAGTGATTAGCTGATAAAGCTGGAAAACAGCATAACTTTACATAGTGAAGGTTACTAATAAGGGGAGCTAAGGCCTAGACTATTTAAGTGACTTGGCCTAAGTCACACAGTGAGTAACAGAAACAGGAGCAAAAGCTGAGTTTCCTAACTCCCAACAATTGCCATTTCCTCTACAACTCTTCCAATAAAAAAGAACCCTGAGACTTCCCTGGTCATCCGGTGGTTAAGAATCCGCATGTCAATGCAGGGGACACAGTTCAATCCCTGATCCAGGAAGATTCCACGTGCCGAGGGGCATCTAAGCCCATGCATTGCAACTACTGAAGCCCTTGCGCTCTAGAGTCGATGCTCTGCCTCAAGAGAAGCCGCCGCAGAAAGAAGCCCACACACCGCAATGAAGGGTAGCCCCCGCTGGCCACAACTAGAGAAAGCCCATGTGCAGCAGTGAAGACCCAGCACAGCCAAAATTAAGTAATTAACTTTAAAAAATGGTGATGATTTTACCCTGTGGCATGTGTGCATAAGCAACTGTAAGCCATCATGTGGGGTCACCATGGCCACCAAAATAGTCTGCATCTTTTATCTATCTCTCTAGACGGATGGAGGGGTGATCTACATCATAGAAATTGATTGGGCTGGCTGTGCAATGATCTCTGTCCCGTCCAGCAGACCTGGGAGGATCATCATCATGTAGGAGAGCAAGTGAGGAAGTGTCAAGAGTCAGCTGTGGCCGCGCGAGCCTTCACACGGCTGGGACGATTCTGTTTATGTCTATGATGTCCTCTCTTCACCTAGAACATGAAAACACCTAGTTATTTTTCTGCTTGGTTAAGGCGGTAATAATAATAATCAATGACTGTAAAATATAGCTGTCAGGGAGAAAAGGGGGGGCAGTTACATTACGGAATCAGGGCTTCCCTGCTGGCTCAGATGGTAAAGAATCTGCCTGCAATGCGGGACACCTGGATTCGATCCCTGGGTCAGGAAGATCTCCTGGAGAAGGGAGTGGCAACCCACTCCAGTATTCTTGCCTGGAAAATCCCATGGGCAGAGGAGCCTGGGGTCTACAGTCCATGGGATTGCAGAGAGTCAGACACGACTGAGCGACTGAGCACATGATACAGATTTATTCAACCAAATGAAATAGGAGTAGCATAAACTCGATTTGATGCTGTGTTTTGGCATACTTATTCCTAGTTTTTTTCACCTTGACTGCATATCTCTTTATAATGAGAGAAGGACAAGAGGGGAATGTCTTTTTCTCAGTTTTTTAAGTACGTAGGAGCTAACCAAATGATACATCTGGAGTTGAATTGGAGTCTGTCATTGTTTACCATCCTTGTTGGTATTTATGTCAGACTTTAGTTTTCTAATAAATGGTTCTGTGTTTGTTTTCCATAAAGCTGTTTATCTTCATTGTTGTCAAGGAACCAATAACCTTGGTAAATATTTTCTTTTACCTTTTTCAATCAAATTGATGAGTACGTCTAATTACCAAGATGTCTCAACTCCTGACAATTTTTAATGAAAAGTGTAATAGGATTTGAATCTGGTTGGGTTAGAGAAAATCTGTAGGAGCCCCCTGGAGAAGGGAGAGCAATCCTCACCTGAAACAAAAGGCCCACGCGAACCTGAGGTGGTCCCTACGTCTGCTCCGTTGGCATCATATCACTCTGCACTGCTGAGAACCACAAAGGAAAGAGTCTGTTTTGTGATGGACTTTGGCTTTCAGTCTCTGGATTCTCTCTTCAGACTATGTGTAAGACTTGGTTTGAGCACAGCCTATAGACTTCCCACTCACTTATACTCAGTGCAGTTAAAAACCCAAAGATTTAAGAGATCAACTACCAAAGTAACAACTACCTTATTTGGGCCATTTTATTAAGAATGTTTATGTCTTTCTCTGATTAGTTTGCATTTTAGAAATCCAAACTTGTCGTTTGAAAATTGTTGAAAATGAGACAGTGGTTTTCGTTCAGAAGTCAGTATCCCTGATTTTCATGACACTTAAGAAGAAATGGAAACATGCTTATATTGACAAGATTTGGCTACCTGCAAATAGTCATAGCATTTTTTAAAACTTTACAGTGCTTTCCCTTTTATTTTGTTAGTCCAGAACTCCTATAGAAAAACAAAGCAAAGCCTAGTTCTACCAGGTTCCTTAGTTATGGTCTATTTTTCAGAAGCTGGTTTTCCACATTTTCCAGCTATCTAGATCATCTCTTCTTCCCCTGAAAGTGCAGACTTTATATCCTTCATCAATCTCTGCCAAAATATGATCCTTTTTCTCCTCAAAAGACATATATGTAAGTTTTGCTTACCTGTCCTAACTCTGTGATAGTAAACAGTTTACTAAGCCCCAGTTCATTCTATAAAATAATATTTTTCTCATGGGGTTGTTGTAAGGGAAAGCTGATATTGTATATAAAGTTTTAGCATGGTACTTAGGCTATGCTAACTGTTCATTACATGCTCAGTTGCTCAGTCTTGTCCGACTCTTTGCAACCCCATGGACTGTAGCCCACCAGGCTCCTCTGTCCATGGGATTTCCCAGGCAAGAGTTCTGGAATGGGTAGCCATTTCCTCCTCCAGGGGATGTTCCTGACCCAGGGATTGAACCCACGTTTTCTGCTCTGGCAGGCAGATTCTTTACCACTGAGTCACCAGGGTAGTATGTGTTACTCTAAAGAAAAGAGAGAAGCTTGACTGTTATTTCAAAAGGAACAAAGTTAGTGAAACAAGTGATTATTCTGTTTAAATGTTTGCCCCATTTATCTTAGTCCTTCAAGTATGTTTCACTGCTGCAAACGCACATCTGTCACAAACTAGAAGTACACGTGCCTAAGAAGATAACATGTGGAAAATGCACAAGCACAGAAGCAAACTAATTTTTTTCCTTGAAAGATTAAAACATAATTATCTCCCCATCTTCTACCTCTCCCACTCTTCCAAATTGCTCTATCATTGCATTACTGCAGGGATCATTAGGATAGTAACATTCTCGATTTAAAAAAAAAAGACTACATAATACATTGTTTCTTAACATGAGTGATGGTAGTTACTCAGGTGTTTGCTTTATAATTATTTGCTAAACTGAATATGTATGATTTATGTATTTTCCTATATGTATATGGACTTCCCTGGTGCCTCAGACGGTAAAGCATCTGCCTGCATTGTGGGAGACCCAGGTTCGATCCCTGGGTCAGGAAGATCCTCTGGAGAAGGAAATGGCAGCCCACTTCAGTACTCTTGCCTGGAAAATCCCATGGACAGAGGAGCCTGGCGGGCTACAGTCCATGGGGTCGCAAAGAGTCGGACATGACTGAGCAACTTCACTTTCACTATATGTATACTCACACACACATTGGAGGTGAAATTGGCATGTAAGAAAGTGATGGGATAGAATTTGTTGTTGTTCAGTCACTTAAGTCGTGTCTCTGTGGCCCCATTGACTGCAGCACGCCAGGCTTCCCTGTCTTCACTATCTCCCGGAGTTTGCTCAGATTCATGTCCATTGAGTCAATGATGCTAGATAGAATAGTACAAACCAAATATAAGTCTAGGTTGGAGATGGATATATAGCAAAGCAAACTGCTTAAAATTCCAAATTGAAAGGAATATGAAAGCAATAAACCCTGATTTTCAACAAAAGATGAAAACTATTCCAACTACTCCAGACTGGCTATCTCCATGTCACAAACTGAGTGGCTAGTGTGTGGCAAATTATGGAACTTTTTTCCTTCTCTGCATGGATACGACCTGCACTGGAGTCACTGTGGGACAAAATCTTCCCACGTCATCTTCCGTTTGCTTAACATCAGGCATGAAGAGCTTCTCTCGATGACTGAGCTCTTTAATAGACCACAGTGAGCCAAGCCGCTTTGCACAGAGGTCACTGCCCCATCTCCTCCACCCATCTTCGTTAACATTCCTACCACTTGTGCATGATTTCAGAGATAGCTGCCCTGGTTTACTGAATGCTATCAGACAAGAAGTTAAGAATGACAAGTCTTTATTACTAACAAGCAGCTTTTGGTTTTTCAGCGTCGACTGGGAGATGCTGCAAAGAAAGCAATCAGCAAGCTTCAGGTCAGGACCATCAAGAAGGGTGACAAGGTAACAGCCTCTTTTCTTTTTGTTGTTGCTGTTGTTCAGTTGCTAAAGTCATGTCCGACTGTTTGCGACCCAGTGGACTGAAGCATACCAGGCTTCCCTGTCCTTCACTGTCTCCTAGAGTTTGCTCAAACTCATGACCACTGAGTTGGTGGTGATGCTGTCCAACCAAATCATCCTCTGTCACTCCCTTTCCCTCCTGCCCTCAATCTTTCCCAGCATCAGGGTCTTTTCCAATGAGTTGGTTCTTTGCATCAGGTGGCCAAAGTATTAGAGCTCCAGTTTCAGCATCAGTTCTTCCAATGAATATTCAGGGTTGGTTTCCTTTGGGACTGATTTGTTTGATCTCCTTGCTGTCCAAAGGACTCTCAAGAGTGTTCCCCAACCCCACAGTCCAGAAACATCAATTCTTTGATGCTCAGCCTTCTTTATGTCCAGCTCTCACATGACTGGTGGAAAAACCATAGCTTTGACTATGTGGACCTTTGTTGGCAAAGTCTTTTATTTTTGGTGAGGAGCTATTTAAAGCTTCTGAGTTTCCTAGCAACCAATGTAGATAAGAAGATGAGGAAGAGAAATACATGCTAATAGTTTTCCTATAAGCATCTGTTATTATACCCACCATTATTAAATATAATTTAAGGCAGTTTGTAAAGTGCATACCATGGGACCGGAAAGTCATTGGAGAAAAAATATGAGAAAAAGTAAGTTTAGGAAAAGTAGATAAAACCAGGATGAAATAGTACACAGATTCGTTACCTGAAATGAAAAACAGACATGGGTCCAAAATTTAGGTTGGGGCTTTCTGGCAGCCAATGCAAAGGACAAAATATTGAATATTCAAACAAATCTAAGTACCTTATTCCAGTGTCCCACTAGATAAAAATGAAATGACTGTTCCTGGAATTATGACTTGAGAAAATTTTTCCATGAATCCTTGCACAGAAAGCAGTGTTAGGTGCTGAGTGATATATTCCACTTAAGTCTGCAGTTAATGCTGGTGGCTCAGTGGCAAAGAATCCGCATACTAATGCAGATGTGGGCTCAGTCCCTGGGTCAGGAAGATCCACTGGAGACGGAAATGGCAACTTACTTCAGTATTCTTGCCTGGAGAATTCCATGAACAGAGGAGCCTGGCAGGCTACAGTCCATGGGGTCACAAAGAGTCAGAGACGATTTAGCAACTAAACAACAATAAAAAAAAAAATGCAAGAAGCATATTTAGTCCCCCTGAAACCAAGTTTCCAGAACCCCGAAGTTATGATAGCAGAACTCATTCCAGTACAGTCATTCTAGAACTCTCTAGCTGTAGGATGATGACATAAAGCCAAAAGCAGAAGCATATCCTAAGGAAGGACCACAATGCAAGCTGGTCTGGGCCCACAGACCTCTAAAGGTCTCTAAAGACCTCTGTTCTCCCCAGGAGAATTTTTTCCCCCAGGAGAAATTTTAGAGCAGTGGATTGCAGTCCATGAATGTGGGGCTGCTTAAGCCACTGTAAGAGATTCACAGCTCTACTTGTATTTGAGGTGTTGTCTCTAGTGTGAATAATTGATTTGTCTCACTAATTAGGTGCTACTGGTTTTCAGCTATATAAAAATACCTTTGAGCTTAATAGGATAAAATTCATTTTAAAAGCATCACTGAATTTAAAGCATATTTTTTCAGTACTTTTTTCCTCCTCAAACAGAATGATAAAAGAACAAGGACTGTTACATAAGTAATGTATTATAGGGTGTTGAAAGAGACTTAAGTACTTGAAAAGAAAGCTGGAACCACTATTTTAGAGTTGTATACATTAGATTCCCAAGGAATGATAGATTAAATATCTTTTTGATGAGTCTCCATGAAGAGTATTTCTCTCATCCTTGAGACTTTGCGTTGTCACCTCTGATTATAATAAGTAGCATAATTAGTAATGGTACATTAAAAAACGATTTCCTCATCAAAGCTCTTGCTGTGGAACCAGGAAACAAAAAGTGGAGGTTGGAAGGAATAGAAACTAAACCAGTGCGTAATAAATTATGGATTAAGACAGCCAGCTTCGAGACAGTTGAAAGCCCTGCTCCAGGCAAGCTCTCCTTTGGCTTGTTACTTGTGTGTTTACAGAAGTTGGAGCTCGCAAAGCAGGCTCATCTGTGCTTTCTCTGTTGCAGGAAACGGAGCCGGATTTTGACAACTGTGCTGTTTGCATTGAGGGGTACAAGCCCAACGATACCGTCCGGATCTTGCCCTGCCGGTGAGTGGCTAGCTGCCTGCTTTTGACTGGGGCCTCTCTGGTTCCAACCTGCCTGGCCTAGCCCTGCAAGGTCAATCTGCCCAAACACTGCTGGGGTTCAGGAAGAAGCAACCAGCACCCTGATTCATTTTGTATGACCTTTCTCCTTGGAAACATTCTGTCTTGTGAAATTCACACTGCTTTCCCATCCTCTTCATACCAAACTAAAGCTCTGTGACCTAGAACCTCATGATGCACAGTTGGACCATGTAGCTCCAAGTTCAGGTTTTTGTTAACAGCAGACCTGCAATATTCAGAATCATCCCCACTTTTACAAGTGCTATTTTAATTAAAATAATAAACTCTTAAAAATGTCTTCTGGATGATCATGAAGGGATCAGTACCCAGAATATAGTCAGGAGTGGGCAGGAAGCCAAAGGCAGGTTTCATTTTCCTTTATTTTTTGCTAACAACAAGAAACTGTGGCAGAAACCCCCAAACTTCTAGGACCTAGGGTAGAATGTCAACAGGTGTAGTTGGAAAACTGCCTGGGTGATTCTCATAGAACTCTAGTCCTTCTCTAGATTCTTTTTATACAATTCAAATTAAACAAATTTAAATACTTCAATAAAATATCTTAAAGTTGCTTAAAGCTTCTTTAGTGTTTTTGCATCTACATAAGTGTCCTAAAAATATGTTAAATTCTGCCTTAGAGAAATATTCTTCTCTTAGAAATCCTGCCTTTTAAAATTCTCAGAGTATTTAAGTAACTAAAGTAGAAAACAGACACCACCAAGATATAAAACAAATTCATTTGGTCATAAAACTATGTGATGCTAAGAACTATTTATTAGAAACACAAAAGAAATCATGCCTTAGAGGAATGAGTTTAATAATCCCAAAGTGACAGAGAAATGACAAAAAGGAAGAAGATACTTAAATAGATGCACACACTCCAAGGGGAGTGAATGAGCTTGAAATGCTCCCACGCAAATTGATCGGTAGGAGAACAGGCCTGAGGAAAGTGCACTCTGGTGGCCCCGGCTGAAGCCTTCAAGTGGGCTTCGCTTTCCTTAGAGATGCTTGGCTGTCTCTAGAACAAATCATAAACGGATACATCAAGACTTGGCAGTGGCCTTCATATGAGGGTACTATAGATAAGTTCTCTCTCTAGACATTATACTTGGTATTTGCTTGATGATTTCTTGAAACACTGGCCAAGGATGGTGATAAGTGAACTGCAGAGAGCCTCTCCAGATAGCATCATTCCTCTCTGCAGTATTTTATTAGGAGTTTTATAAAGCCTCCTAGCTATAGGCAAGGAAAGTACTTGATTTTACTTTCCTTTGGAGATGGCTTCGCGTCCTGTGAGTCTCCTAGTAATAAAAAATATCCAAAGCTAAAATTAAAGTTCAGGGGCATCTTTTGCCTGAAAATCCAAAGAACTTTACAAATATAATTAAGAAAATATGTTTTAAGGACATATTTAGGCTTACTTTAGCTCTGTCATTCATACTGTATAAAACAGCTGGTTCACTGAGGGCTCTTTCATGAGTATATTTTATGTGACTGCATATAATTGCTAGAGGCTGCGTAATATCCAGGTCATAGACGTACCACAGTGTAATTTACCATCCTCCTGTTGTGGACCATTTGGCTGATTTCAGTTTTTAATTATGACAGATTACATTGCTTTCACAGTATTTAGATGGCTGTGGTATATTTTTCCAGATATCCATTTATAGTATTTTTTTGGAAATATTAACCAAGACAAAAATAGCACTTTAATATTTGTCACACACACTCACAAAACTTTAGGAACTTTCATTTTATTGATGCTAGCCCTTGCCCCAGGTCAGTTCAGTCTGGCCTCAGGCTCCTCTTTCTCGTGTCATCATTTGTTTCTCAGTTCATTCCTTGATTCTTTCTGCTTCAAGTTCCTCACTGTCCATCTGTCTTTATTCCTTCCTGTGGGCCCTGCTTTAAATAACAAAATACATCAAGCATTACCAAACGCAGGTTATAGTTAGTGTTTGATCTTAGACTAGCCACCCAGCCCTACTCTTTGAAGAGCTCCTCCAATTTTTCCATGCAGCTTTTAAAATCAAGATATTTTTATGCCTGTTGCTGGTCTCTGCTAGACAGTTTGCACTAATGGATGTTATCAAACAAATGCACTGGCATTTGCTTTTTGCTAGATAATTTCCTCTGGGGCATTATTAAGCCTTTGCTCCTATGAACCTCGTAGACTCTCTTTCCCATTATTTCCAGGCTGACTCATCCACAGAATTCTTTGCATCTCCTTGGAATAAAAACTGCTTCAAAAAATGTTCCAGCATATTGTCTGTCTTCTCTCACCCTCTTTATTGTGGCCTCCTAATTCCTGACATGCTGGGCGCCTCTCTTCTCTATTGTTACCTTGCAGGGAGTCTTTCCAAATCATGTATCACTTGTACCATGACTTTTGGAAGATCATTCTCTTGGCTGTGTCTCTTTTCAAGGCACTTGCACAATTAGGATGAATTAATAACTGATCCTTCCTCTTTGTAGTCATGATGATTGGTAGAGTTAAATTGTGCACATCTTCATGTACCACTTCTTCCCCTTTGTTCTTTCTAAGTAGGGTCCTACTCTAGTGCTTGAAAGCAAGCTAATCTGTGGGGTGAGCCTAGACACACACATTTAATGTGAGGGAAGGACCCACAGCCGCACACAGAACACCTCAGGTCTAACTTTTGAGGTTTGGAGTTGATCCTAATATACCACTAAGATATTTTCCAAGCAACTCCGGTTTTGCTGTAGCATATCTATGCCAAAGCATACAATTCACCATATTTTTAGGCTGGCTTTTGTGACTCAAGTTTGAACTTGCAATTATGATTTTTAGCCACAAAACAGATCTCACTGAAGTTCTGTTGCCTTCTCTTGTCCAGAGAATAAGCTGGGCTTTCTGAGCCTTCCATGGATTTTAACCTATGGTGTCCGTACTGTCCTTCAATGGTTATTCGTCTCAATCTATTTAACTTCCCAATTTCAAATGCAGTGTCTCAGAAAGAGCATGATCTCCTTGTGCAGGGCAAAAGTCCCTGTTTGCCACAGATCGCCAGTCCAGGCTGGATGCATGAGACAAGTGCTTGGGGCTGGTGCACTGAGGAGGTGGAAGAGGGGTTCAGGATGGGAAACACATGTAAATCCGTGGCTGATTCATGTCAGTGTATGGCAAAAACCACTAGAATACTGTAGAGTATTTAGCCTCCAACTAATAAAAATAAATAAAAAAATAAAAGATGAAATTTTTTTTTTTTAAAACAAAGCAGAATTTCCCTTGTGGTCCAGTGGTAAAGATTCCACCCTTCCAGTTCAGGGGGCTCGGGTTCAAGCCCTGGTGAGGGAACTAAGATCCCACATAGGGCAAGGCCAAAAAAAAAAAAAAGATTGAAAATAAAAAATAAAAACAAAACAATGTATGCATCCTTTCTCTAAGTTGCCTATACAGTTCTTTCCTATTTCTATTTTATTGCTAAAGCATTATCACTAATTTGGGAAGACACTGGTTTCATCTACTGTCTTTCCCTTTGTTTGCAAACTCAGCCCTACAATTCAGGAAAAATTATAAAGCTCCTTGGCAACAAGCAGACCCTTGCCATATTCTTTTTAGTAACTAAATGCTTTATTTGAAACAACAAACATTTCTTTCGTTTGCCAGGAATAGTGTGAAGTACCAGAAGTGAAAAGGTAGATGGGATGGTCACTGCTTGAAAGGGAGTCAGGCTAGTGAGAGAGAGATGGGGATTTAACTAACTGGTCATATACATAACTAACTAGTCATATACACTACAATAATAGCAAAACAAATAAAAAATCTGGAGGAACTAGTACCAGGCACAGGAAGTTAAGAAAGGCTCTGTAGATTTAAAGGGGCTTCTCGGATGGCTCAGTCAGGAAAGAATCCACCTGCAATGCAGGAGACATGGGTTCAATCCCTGGGTCAGGAAGATCCCCTGGAGGAGGAAATGGCAACCCACTCCAGTAGTCTCGCCTGAAGAACCCCATGGACGGAGGAGACTGGTGGGCTGTATAGTCCATGGGGTCGCAAAGAGTCAGACACGACTGAGCCCAGCACAGCACAGAAACAAATGAGATGTCTTCATATTTTCTAACCATGGTTGTTTTGCCCATTACATCCTCATTTTAGAAAATTTGTAAAATGGATAAATATTTAATCATCTGTGTAACTTCCTCATACAGGGATCCACTGCTAACACTTTTATCATTTCCTTTTATTTCCTATGCCTATTTTGTGCAAGTTTGAGATACTGCTGTCAACAGCAATTAATATCCTTCTCTTTTAATGCTTCCCTTGTGGTCAGCTGGTAAAGAATCCACCTGCAATGTGAGAGACCTGGGTTTGATCCCTGGGTTGGGAAGATCCCCTGGAGAAAGGAAAGGCTACCCACTCCAGTATTCTGGCCTGGAGAATTCCATGGGCTGTATAGTCCGTGGGGTCGCAAAAAGTCAGACATGACTGAGTGACTTTCACTGTCACTTTCTCATTTAATATCCTGCTCTTTTTACTTAGCATTAAAAGAATTTGCTAGAAATAGTACTAAGTTATTTGTGGCTCATTTTGACCTTCCAACTCCATAGGCAGAAGCTGATCAATGTCTTAAGTTGAATAAATCAACCAAAGACCCTGAGATGTTGGCTCTTATTCCTCAGGAATCAGGGCCATTTTGTGGGCGCATCAGAATTGTCAGCTGAGGTAAACCCGGAGTGTGTCCTAACTCCCTTCATCTCATTCATTAGTAACCCATCAATGAGCTATTCATGTCTCGTCATCCCAGCCCCTGAGAGAGAAAAGCAGTTTAGCCTAGACAGACAATAGTTTGGATAATAATGGCCCGTGGAGGCAGCGTGTCTTGCTGGCTTATTATTGTCACAGTTGGATTAGAAATAAAATCCTCTAAAACCCAAGTTAATATGTTAGATAGCTGCACCGCAAGCATTTAACCAGTTTGTAC